ATCCCTCCACCCACCCCCAACACCCTACTCCCAACAGAGCTGTCTGCCTGTCTCTATCTATGAGTCTGTCTCTATTTTGCTTGGTAGTTCAGTTTGTTCACTAAATTTCACACACAAGTGAAATCTCTGACTGGCTTATTTCACTTAGCATAATGTTCTCCAGGTCCATCCCTGCTACCACAAAGAGAAGAGTTGTCTTCCTTTTTACAGCAGAGTGGTGTTCCTTTGGGTAAATGTCCCACAGCTGTTTTACCCACTCATCTACTTCAGCTGTTTCCAAATCTTGGCTGTGAATAACGCTGCGATGAGCATAGGGGTGCATACAGTATATTCTTTTGAATTCATGTTTCAGATTTCTTCAGATAAATTCCCAAAAGTGGAATGGCTGGGTCATGAGGCAGTTCCATTTTTAATTTTTTCATGTAACTCCATACTGCTTTCCACAGTGACTGCACCAGTCTGCATTCCCACCAACAAACTTATTAATTATTTTCTAACATAATGCCATCTTTTGTAAGAAATAAAAAAATGGTTTGAACACTTAGCACTTAAGAATTTATGTTATTATGTCATGGAAAGATGATTTAGTGTTATAGAAAGATGTTCACAATAGAAGATTAACAAAGATGTACCAGTATGATAAAATAGCTTTTTGTTTTAAGATAAAATACACATAACTTAAAATATACCATCTTAACCATTATAAGTGTACAATTTTATGCATTTAGTCCATTCACATAATAGTGCAACTACCCCCGCTATGTAGCTCTAAGATGTTTTTATCACGTGAAAAGGAAACCCGTCCCTATTAGCTTACTTCTTCTCATTACCCCTCCTGGCCCCTGACAACCAACAGGGTGCTTTCTTCCTCATTGATTCATCAGTATTCCTGGTTGTGAATGTACCACCTTTTGTTTGTCCATTCACATGGTCATAGATATTTAGATTGTTTCCCAAATATCCAACTCTGGGCAAATGTGAATGGTGCCACTATGAACATTCGTGTGCAAGCTTTTGTCTCAAAATCCAATTTCTCTTGTTTCTTTTCTTTTCTTTTCTTTTCTTTTCTTTTCTTTTCTTTTCTTTTCTTTCTTTCTTTCTTTCTTTCTTTCTTTCTTTTACAAATGAGGATATGTTTCTATTGATTTTTTAGAAAAAGAGGGGGAGAGAGAGAGAGAGAGAGAGAGAGAGAGAGAGAGAGAAGCATTGATGTGAGAGAGAAATATCAATGGGTTTCTTCCCAATGGTTCCCTGACCAAGGATTGAACCCGAAACTTAAATATGTGTCCTGACCAGGAATTGAAACCACACACCTTTTGGTGTCCTCTCCAACCAACTGAGCCACCTGGCCGTGGTTCAACACCCATTTTCAATTCTTTTGGGTATAAAGGTGGGCATGGGATTGGTGGATCATATGGTAATTTTAGGTTAAATTTATTGAGGAATCACCAAACTGTTTTCCATAGTGGCTGCATGCATTCCCACTGCAATACATAAGGGTTTTAGTTACTCCACATTCTCGCTAACACTTGTTATTTCCTCCTCTTTAGATTCTTTCCATCCTAGTGAGTGTGATGGGGATCACGTTGTAGTTTCCATTTGCATTTTCTTATGACTAGTCACGTTGAGCATCCCTTTGAGTTCCAATGAAATAGAATTTTTAAACCGAAGATTACATGTAAATGTAATACGTTTAGATGTAAATTAAGGGTTTACTTGTATAAGGATTACACATGTATAGATGTAATAAATACATGTTAGATAATGTTAACAGTGATTATTTTGGCACGGTTGGATTAGTGCTATGAATATAATTTTTATGTCTTACTTTTTCTATTTGTATTTTCTTCCATGAAAATGTATCATTATGGGAATAAGAAAAATATTTTAATTAAGGACAAAAAGGCAAAGAAAAGATGTGATTTTTCAGCTTTGATTATATTAAATATTTGATCATTCCATGTTGCAGTGTTAATCTCTCTCTCTCTCTCTCTCTCTCTCTCTCTCTCTCTCTCTCTTTCTCTCTTTCTTTCTTTCAGCCAGTAAGCCTATTATGTCCCAATCTGTGGGCCCTGAAAAGCTCTGACACTCGTATCCTGGAATCCACCCCCCCAACCCCCTCCCCCACCTCCACCCACCAGAGAGGAGCAAGTCCTGGGGCGGTCACTGTTCCAGGTGCTGAAGGAGGGCTCGCCCCGCCTCCCTTCCATGTTCCTCTCACATGCAGACCCATGAGACCTCCATTTCCCAGGACATTTAGGACAAAATAAAGTCCAGGTCATGCATCTTTGGGGGGGGGGGGGGGGGAAGAAAAGTGCTTTTTCCAGTTCCTAACTGCAGACCAGCTTCACATCAAAGACTTGTAATTTCTCAGACATAGCCACAGGTATTTTAAATTTACTGAATTTTCTAATGATAGTTTTCTTTACCAGTAGTTGCCACATTTCCAAAAACTTAAATTTAACTTTTATGACTTTAAAAGGATTAAAATGTTGGAATGTGATGCAAAAAGAGAAGAAAAGGAGGAAGTTAGTCCTCACGAAGGACTGGAGCTTACCAGATAATGACTCCTCGTGTTGTTGTGCTTAATTATTCTATCTCCACAACAGGGCAATCAAGTGGCTAATGTTATACTAGAGGCCCGGTGCACAGATTTGTTCACATTGAAAGGAAAAATTAGAAGATGGCCAGTGGGACAGGACTAGGAGAGATGGGCCAGATGTGCCCTGGAGCCAACCTCCTGCCATCCCTCCCCCAGGGCTCAAAGGGCATCTGCAGAGTGACCAGGGTCCCTCTGGCAGGTGGGGTCCTTTGGCCTGACCTGCAGGGATTGGGCCAAAACTGGCTCTCAAATATCCCCCGAGGGGTCCTGGATTGTGAGAGGGTGGTTCTCAGGTGATGCACCTTGGAATCAGGCTCCTTCCTCTTTGGTTCCAGGTTTGTCACCTGAGAACCACAGCTGCCAAGTCACTGCAGCTCAGCAGCTCCTATGTCGAGCATCTGCCCCCTGGTTGGTTGGGTGGTCATTTAGGCTTTTATAGAGAGAGATAGTAAAAGAACTGAGACTTAGAGAGAGAAATGCTGTTCCCCAAGCTAAACAGCTAGTAAACAGCAGGCTGGGATTGTGACCTTCGGAGCACAGCTCTGGGGTGTGGTGGGTCCAGGGTCATCAGACCCTGACTGTTCCGGCTACCTGCTCCACCTTCGTTAAAGAGTCGTCCTGTCCTCATGATCCAAGATGAAGCTCCAGCACCCCGTCAAGGCTCTATGCAGTAGGAGGAGGAAGGTGGAGGACTGGGTAGAGACAGTGTTCCAGATTTCTCTTAAGGCTTCCAGAATGACCACATAATCTTTGATTTCTCCATATGGAACAGGACATGGCCATTTAACCAATCCAGCTTCAAGAAAAGCTTTCAGCAATAACCTATACTTCAGCCTGCCTTCCACCTGGCTAAAAACTAGGGATTCCAAGAGGGTGGAAGTGGATATCAGGATACACAATTAGCCATCTCAGACACAGTCCATCCTGTTGACTATCAAAACATGCAGTGTGGCCCTAGCCAGTTTTGCTCTGTGGTTAGAGCTTTGGGCAAAGAACGAAGGGTTCGATTCTGGTCAAGAGCACACACTTGGATTGCAGGCTCAATCCCAGCCCTGATCAAGGCGTCTGAGGAAAGCAACCAACTGATGTGTTTCTTTCATATTGATGTTTCTCTCTGTGTCCCTTATCCTTCCTCCATCCTCTCTAAAAATCAATGGAAAAAAATATCCTCAACAACAAGAAAAACATCCATTGTGTGTCATTCTTCCTATACAAGGAACACACAACATTCCCAAGGGAGTCAACTCCATCCACCTGCTCCCTCCATTTGCCTCAAGGTCCAGCATCTTGGGGTGACGTGCAACCCTCTCCCTTAAATCTCGACGTGGGCTTTAGTGGTCTGTAACTCCATACACCCAAAGACAACTATCACCCCGAAGTAATAGCTGGATCCTGACTATTCAAACTCCCAACTGAGACTTCTCTCTGTCTCTGTTAATGACAAGCCAGGTTATTTGGATCCGCTTTTTAAAAAAACAGCTCTTAATGCTGGGCATTTTTTCAATTTCTTAAATGAATAAATGGCATGAAAAGATGGTAAAGAAGTATAAAGAAACTGCTAGATGAAAATGGAAACCTAGAGATAAAATGAACATCAATTATACTTTTGTTCTGGAAGCATTTCCCAAGTCAGGAAAATGTGAAATTGGGGAAATTGTAAGAAGACTCTCCTTACATAGTGATCTCAAAAAACTACACCTCTTAGGGTGAGAGCAGACAGAAATGAAAGAACCAGCAAGTGCCTTAGTAACCTTGGGCATAAAAATCTTGAACTTCATCCTATATAATAAAAGCCTAATATGTTAAGTGTCCAGTCATCTATTCAACCAATCAAGCATAATATGCTAATGATATGCTAAGGGCACTCAATCGCTCTCTATGACATGCACTGACCACCAGGGGGCAGATGCTCTGACTGGTTAGCTTGCTGCTGGAGTCCGGCCAATCAGGACTGAGCAAGACAGGCCAGACATGCCCTGGAGCCCTCCTGAGGTACCTCCGGAGCTGGCCTGCCTCCCTCCTCCCTCCCTGCCCAGATCTTGCATGATCTTGCACCTGTGGGGTCCCTCAGCCTGGCCTGCGCCCTCTCACAATCTGGGACCCCTCGAGGGATGTCTGAGAGCCAGTCTTGGCCAGATCCCGCAGGCCAGCCTGAGGGACCCCACAAATTTGTGCACCAGGCCTCTCCTTTAAGATAATCCTCAACCAGCAGAGCTCCCAGGATTCTTCTCACAGAAAGCTGCCTCCTCCAAATTCTACCAATATTATTTCGAATATGACAGCCACGATCCAGGAAAAGAGAACTAGACACACAAGAATACTGACCCTATGCTTGAAAACCAGCAGAAACAACGGACAACATAACAGATACGGTTATGGCAATGATCAGACACAAAGGATAAAGCCATCAGGCTTGTTCTGTTGAAGTAAACAGTGTAACAGAGTGACCACAGAGACATTGGGAAGGATCCTGAGAAAGGCCTGGGTATGTTAGGAGGTCAGAACTGAGGTCAGCATGGCCAGTGTGCGTGGTGTCACGTTGGGTCCTCCTGTGTGACTCAGGGCCCCAAATGTGCCCCGTGGATCCGTCCTTCCGCCTGGCTCCTTCCTGCTGAAACACCTCCCGGGGACTCCCCATTACCCAAGCTATCAAGTCCATGCGTGGGCTCAGGGAGAACCCGCCGTTCGATTGGTGTGGGCCCTGTGGTCTGCTAGAGACACCAGCCCCCTCCACCCAGCCACGCCCCCGCCCTGGGTCCCCGCAGCCCTGGCTCTCAGTGAGGCTGCAGCAGGGGTGGTGACAGCTGGGTTTTCTCCTAGGAATCTGCGAGGGGCTGTGTGCAGGGTCGGGGCGGGTCCGCGCGCAGCGGCTCCACCCGCAGCCACAGGCCGCCCTCTGCACGCAGGATGAGCTCGGGCTTCCTGCGCGGCGGGGCCTCGTCGCACAGGACGCGGAAGCGCAGCAGCGTGAGCGCCAGCACCACCTTCATCTCTGCCATGGCGAACGTCTGCCCGATGCAGTTCCTGTGGGCGAGGGAGAGGGGGGGCTCAGAGGGTGCCCGGGACCCCACTGCCGCCGTCAGGGATAAAGAAGGGGGCTACAGTGGTCAAGGACAACAGGGGGGTGGGGGCATGAATGGGGAGGGGTGGGGGATGGGGATGGGGGCATGAGGACAAATATGTGATACCTTAATAAAGAAATTTAAAAAATAATAATAAAATAAATAAAACATTACAGAAGAAGAAGAAGAAGAAGAAGAAGAAGAAGAAGAAGAAGGAGGAGGAGGAGGAGGAGGAGGAGGAGGAGGAGGAGGAGGAGGAGGAGGAGGAGGAGGAGGAGGATGAGGAGGAGGAGAAGGAGGGAGAGGAAAGAGAAGGAGGAGGAGGAGGGGGAGGAGAGGAGGAGGAGGAGGAGAGGAGGAGGAGGAGGAGGAGGAGGAGGAGGAGGAGGAGGAGGAGGAGGAGAAGAAGAAGAAGAAGAAGAAGAAGAAGAAGAAGAAGAAGAAGAAGAAGAAGAAGAAGAAGAAGAAGAAGAAGGAGGAAGAGCTCCTGGAAACCCCAGGCAACAGCTGCGGAGCCTCACCATCCTTAGGCCACCCCCCACCCCCACCCCACCCCCACCCCACCCCAACACCCGCTGGCTCACCTGGGCCCCACTGAGAAGGGAATAAATGCCAGAGGTGACCTCTTCTGGGGTGTTTCAGGGTCAAAGCGGAAGGGGTTGTATACCTGGGGGCGGAGAGGGGCAGGCGTGCTGGATGGGGGTTCTCGGGACACCCAGACATCCCCAAAAAAGGCCCCTGGACACAACAAATGGGGCGTGTCTGATGTCCCGGGTCAGGACCCCTCCCCATCACCAGGTCCCAGGATGGAAGGGGGAGGGGCAGCACCTCAGGGTTCGGCCAGACTGACGGGTTGTGATGAACCCCGAAGATGCTGATGACACAGATGTTTCCTATGCGGGGGAGGACAGGGCGGTCAGAACGAGGTCCCGGCTGGTGGACCTCCAACTCTCTCCCCCTCTCACGGCCAGCACCTTTGGGGATGACCCGGCCATCAGGAAGCAAGACGTCCTGGGTGCAGCAGCGGGAGATGACGGTGACCGGGGGGTGCAGGCGCAGGCTCTCCTTGATGCACATGGTCAGGAAGGGCAGCCGGGCCAGGTCGTCCCTAAAAACCCACACAGTTATTCACTCATGGCAAAACCAGGCACCCCATCCCTCCTGCCCCCCCCCCACCACCACCATACTCCTCTCCACCTCACTCCTAGACCAAAATAAATTCCAGGTGAACCACAGATGTAAGCATCAGAAAGTCGAAATCACAAAAGTTGCTAAAGAAAATGTAGGCTGCCGAGACCGGTTTGGCTCAATGGATAGAGCGTCGGCTTGGGGACTGAAGGGACCGGGGTTCGATTCCGGTCAAGGGCATGTACCTTGGCTGCGGGCATATCCCCAGTAGGGGGTGTGCAAGAGGCAGCTGATCGATGACTCTCTCTCATCGATGTTTCTATCTCTCTATTTCTCTCCCTTCCTCTCTGTACAAAATCAATAAAATATATTTTTTAAAAAAATAAATAAATAAATAAATAAATAAATAAATAAATGTAGGCTGACCCAGCCGGTGTGGCTCAGTGGTTGAGCCTTGACCTATAAACCAGAAGGTCACAGTTGAATTCCCAGTCAGGGCACATACCAGGGTTGTGAGCTTCATCCCCAGTGTGGGGTGTGCAGGAGGCAGCTGATCAATGATTCTCTCTCATCACTGATGATTCTCTCTCTTCCTGACCCTTTCTCTCTCTGAGAAATCAATTTAAAATTTTATTTAAAATAGAATAGCCCTAGCCAGCCCTAGCCAGCTTGGTTCAGTGGATAGAGCCTCAGCCTTTGGACTGTGGGGTCCCAGGTTCAATTTCAGCCAAGGACACATGCCTGGGTTATGGGCTCAATCCCCAGTGGGGAGTGTGCAGGAAGCAGCTGATCAGTAATTCTCTCTCATCATTGATGTTTCTGTCTCTTCTCTTTTCCTCTCTGAAATCAATAAAGACATTAAAAAAAAAAAAAGAATAAGAATAATAAAGACAATGTAGGCTGGTATTTTTAGAACCATTTCCGAGCAAAATACAACATTCATATGGTATTCTTAAAAACATTAGTACATTTGCATAAGAAGCTTTTTATTTTTTAAAATACAATTTATTGATTTTTTTTTTTTTTTTTTTTTTTTTTACAGAGAGGAAGAAGAGAGGTAGAGAGTTAGAAACATCAATGAGAGAGAATCATTGATTAGCTGCCTCTTGCACACCCCCCACTGGGGATATGCCTGCAACCAAGGTACATGCCCTTGACCAGAATCAAACCTGGGACCTTTCAGTCAGCAGGCCGACGCTCTATCCACTGAGTCAAACTGGTTTCGGCAAGAAGCTTTTTAAATTATATCATTACCTTAGCACATCTCTCTATGATGGACTTAGAAGATTATTTGTATAACTAAGATCCACTCCACACTCTAAGGTTGGACGACCTACTATGAAAGTGTCCATTCCATCTAAATGAATCAATATATTTCATGCAATCAGATAAAAATTTACTTGTGGTTTTGGAGAACTTGGTTATATCATTCAATTTGAAAGAATTAAAGCTCATTAAGAGAACTCAACCTACCAGATATTAAAATCCATCATAAAAATGCAGTAATAAAAAATTAAATTAATTTTTTTTTAAAACCACCAGTGTGGTATTGTTGCAAGACAAGGAAACACCCATGGGACAGAACAGAGAGCTCAGAGACCACAAATCAATAAGTGAAAATTTAGCACTTGGTAAAGGAGACCTCACAATTCCCTGGCAATACATGGATGTTTGATAGAAGGTGCTCAGACAACCAATGATGTGGAAATGAAACGAACCAGATCCTCATCTACTCCCTATATAAGGTGATGAGCATGTTAACCAACTTATTGTACTATTGTGTAATCCTTTATAATAAAAGCCTACTATGCTAAGTGTCTGGTCAACTGGCCAGTGGTTCAACCAATCAAAGAATAGTATGTTTATGATATGCTAAGGTTTACTCAACCACTCGCTATGATGTGCACTGACCACCAGGGGGGCAGTCGCTCCACCCTAGCTTGCTGCTGGGGTCTGGCCAATCAAGACTGAGCAAGAGGAGCCAGGGAGTCCTTCCCCAGTCCCTCCAGGCTGGCCAACCTCTCACATCCCTCCCCAGCTGTGCACCGGTGGGGTCTCTTGGCCTGGTCTGGACCCTCTCACAATCCAGGACGCCTCAGGAGATGTCAGAAAGCCGGTTTCAGCCCAATCCCGCAGGCCAGGGACTCCATGGGTGCATGAATTCACGCACTGGGCCTCTAGTATACACATAAATCATTGCATTGTACACCTTGAACTTACTATTATAGTACACAGTGTTATATGTCCATTATATCTCCATAAAGCTGAGAGAAAAAGAGATGAAGGCTCATATTCACTGTAAACCATTTTGTACTATTTGAATTTCACCAAGTACATAATCTTTTGATGTTGGGAGAAAAACGTTTCTCCACCTCACGGGACTGCTGTGCTGAGCAAAGCCTTAAAGTTGAGGATACTGCCTCAAAAATGTTCCTCCCGTCTAATATCTCCTTTCCATCCCTCAGCCCTTGGCCTAGACTCTCCCCCAGGGCCTGGCTCGTCCCCTCCAGTTTGCCTCTGTAGCTGCAGAGAGATATTTCTAAGGCCCACATCTGGCCTGTCTCTCCACTGCTCAAACATCTCCCATGGCTCCCCATTGCCCTATGTTAGTCATTGCTCGCCCTTCAGGAAAGAGTCTGCTTTACAGATAGCTGACAGCCTCAAGCTATAGGGTCTCTGGGCCCTGCTGCAGCATTCACACCAAGGCCACACTTACCTGGGCAGTCCCTAGCCAATGACTGAGCAGGTGGCTACCGCTGCCTGACCAATGAGACTCTAATAGTAGCATCCCTGCCCACTTTTACCTTTTATCCAATACTTGAGGCCCGGTCAGAAATTCGTGCGGGGAGGAGATTGTCCCTCAGGGATGTCCAACTGCCCATTTAGGCCCAATCCCACCTAAATGGGCAGTGGGACATCCCTCACAATCCAGGACTGCTGGCTCCCAACTGCTCACCTGCCTGCCTTCCTGATTGCCCCTAACCGCTTCTGCCTGCCAGCCTGATCACCCCCTAACCACTCCCATGCCAACCTGACTGATGTCTAACTGCTCCCCTACCATCCTGTTTGCCCCCAACTTCCCTCCTCTGCCAGTCTGGTCACCCCTAACTGCCCTCCCCTGCAGGGTTGATCACCTCAAACTGCTCTCCACTGCAGGCCTGGTCCCCCACCCCCCAACTGTCCTCCCTTAGCAGGCCTGGTCCCTCTCAACTGCCCTCCCCTGCTGACCATCTTGTGGTGGCCATCTTGTGTCCACATGGGGACAGGATCTTTGACACATGGAGGCAGCCATCTTGTGTGTTGGAGTGATGGTCAATATGCATATTATTCTTTTATTAAATAGGATTGACTTCCCAAAGAATTGAAGTAACACTCCATTGGTCACCCTTAACATAGTTTCCAAAGCACTCCAAGGCGGGGCTCCCATTACCAGGGCAGCCCCATCAGGAGTCCCTCTATGTCAGAAGGATCCAGCCACCTCCACCTCCTTCCAACCCCCAACCAATATGCCAGGCTCACTCCTGCTTGCTTCTGCCTGGCCTTTCCACAAGCTGTCCCCCTGGCCAGGAGCTCTGTTCACTCAGTGTGGTGAATTCATATTTGTTGTTGTTCTCCCAGCCCCAGCCTTGCCCAGGCAGGACTCAGGTGGGACCAGACACTGAGTTGGGAAGGGACAGGTGGTGTGGGCGTATTTGCTGAATAAAAACATAGGTAACTTTTCCCCCTAAAGATTTCTTGGGAATCCCTGGAATAGATGATTAAGTGAGGGGTTCAAAAAGAAAGAGCAAAAACTAAGGGGAGTTGAGGTCTTTGGGGGGGAAATTGCGCGTGCATTACAGAGGCGAAAAGCAGCCTTCAGAAAAGGAAACTGATTTTATTGAAGTCACCTAGCAAGTTCGTGGGGCAATAAATGTGGACAGACTCAGATCTTTCTGTCCCAAAAGCCTGTAACTTGTTTCCCTGCTATCAAGGCTGGGTACCAGACCCTGCCTCTGGCCTCTGCTTCCGTTCCCACTAAATGGGAGGACACAGTGGTGACAGAATCTGCAAAGAGATCTTCCCTCTCCCCCACTTTGGGGGCAGAGCCCATCAGAGGGGCTCAGGAAGGGGCCAGGAGGACCCGCACTCACCATTCTATCTCTGGAGGCTCACGGTCGCCCAGCAGCTGTCGCACCTCCTGCCGGCAGCGCTCCTGGTATTCCGGGTGCCTCGCGAGGTTGTACAGGACCCAGGAGAGGCCGCTGGCAGTGGTGTCATGGCCTGGGAGGCGGTCAGACGGGCTGGGGTCTCTGGGCTACCGCAGCGCCAGAAGGTGGGCCGTGCCCTCATAGTAAGGCCCTCGGGGAGGGTGGGGAGGATCGGGCAGGGTGGGGTGAATCAGAACCCACCTGCCAGGTCCCTGGGATAGAGAGACCCCTCCCCCGCTGGAATCCCACACCAGGACCCTTACCCTCAAACATGAAGGTGTCAGCCTCAGCTCGGATGTCCTCATCCGACAGCCCCTTCCCGTTTTCATCCTTGAGAAAGGACAAAATGCCTCAAGTCACACGGGCCCTGAGGATGTGTGTCTAACCTGAAATAGCCCCCGGAGGTCCATCGTCCACACAGGGTGCTTCCCTCTTCATCTCCAGAGCACACCCCACACGTGTTCTCTCTCTGGCCTCCTGCCTCCTGCGTTCTCCTTCCAGACAGCCTCCTACCGTCGTGTTTACAGCTTCTCTCTGACCCCCTCCTCCCCCTCCTCAAGCACCCTCCGTGGCTCCCCGGTGCCCTCTGCTTCAAGTCCGAGCTCTCTCGTCTGACATTTGAAGTCAATGTCCTTTCTACCTCTTGAATTCGGACCCCAGAGAAGCCCACCTTGGCCAGCAGGAGCACATCAATGAAGTCCAGAGTCCTGGCCTTGGCCTTGGCTTTGAGAAAGGCGTGGGAACCCTGTCTCGTGAGGATGCGCCGCCGCTCCCGGATGACGGCGTCCGTGAACTCGTGCACCAGGCGGCAGGCCCGGCGGAAGCGCCACCCGTCAGGGGTGAGGTAGTACAGGAAGTCCAGGTGCAAGAATATCTGCTGGGCCCGCTTTGTCACCAGGGCACTGAGCTCCAAGATGGCAGCAATATATTCGCTGGGCCTCCTGCAGGGCCGGGCCAGAAAAAGCAGCTCCTAACACACATGAAACCCTGGGAGGCCCTCCCAAGCCAGAACCCAAGACCGCGTCCACTCCAGAAAAGGATGCCTTCCAAACATGCTTCTGTCTCTGTGAGCTGCCTCGTGTCCGAGACCCCAAGGCAAAGCTTAGGAATCACGCTCATCTCCTCTCTTCCGATGCAATATCTGGCCCAGCCCATTCCGGTTTCTCTCAGATATGCCCCCCTTTCTCCACCAAGCTCTGTCCTCCTGTCCATGGTCTCCTTGCATCCTGTGTCTGCAGAACAGTCAGTCACCTCTAGACACGGATGGCCAAGCTCAGCTTTGACCACAACTCTCATCTGTTCAAACACTCCCCATGGATCCCTAGATATCTCGGGATATCTAAAGTTCATACCCATTTGCCTAGCTTTTGAATGTCATTAAGATCCAGCCCCCTGCCAAAACTGGTTTGGCTCAGTGAATAGAGTGCCAGCCTGAGGACTGAAGAGTCCCAGGTTCGATTCCTGTCAGGGGCATGTACCTTGGTTGCAGGCACATCCCCAGTGGGGGGTGTGCAGGAGGCAGCTGATCAATGTTTCTCTCTCATTGATGTTTCCAGCTCTCTATCTCTCTTCCTTCCTCTCTGTAAAAAAATCAGTAAAATAGCCGAAACCAGTTTGGCTCAGTGGTAGAGCGTTGGTCTGCAGACTGAAAGGTCCTGGGTTTGATTCTGGTCAAGGTCATGTACCTTGGTTGCGGGCACATCCCCAGTGGGGGGTGTGCAGGAGGCAGCTGGTCGATGTTTCTAGCTCTCTATCTCTCTCCCTTCCTCTCTGTAAAAAATCAATAAAATATATATTTTTTAAAATCAATAAAATATATTTTTTAAAAAGATCCAGCCCCTGCCACATCCTCCAACCTCATTTCCAAGATGTCTCCTCACTGTTTCACACATGCAGCTCATTCCAGACTCCTGGCCTTTAGCGAACGGGTCTATCTACCTGAAGGGATGGCTCTTTCTCATTTCCCTCCCCCTGTCCTTCTATGTCCAACCACCTCCTCCAGGAAGGCCCTTAGGATTGCCCTGCTCAGTATCCCCCTCCACCCATCCCCTTTGGCCCCTGGTGCATGCTCCCAGGCTCTGGGGAGAGACTCACTCTTGGCAATTGCTGTCAAAACTGAAGACACATTTCTGCAGACTGTCCAGGGTCATGAGGCTGATGTGCTCAAACATATCCAAGCGGGTGCTGCCCTCTGAGGCCAGGCGCTTCCACTTGGCCTGGACAGAGAAAGGGATCGAGCTGGGGCTCCCCTGAGCCCTTCCCCAACCCCAACCACCTGGATGGAGCCCCCAGACCCTGCCTGTTGGCCCTCTGCCCCAGGCACCCATCCCCGAGGAGGACCAGACTTGAGTGGGAGTGACCCCATGGGCTGGGAGTCAGGACACTTGGGTTTAAGATCATTGTCCTGCCCTGGCTGGGATTCAGGTTTGATTCCAGTCAAGGGCACATGCCCGGGTTGTGAGCTCAGTCCCCAGTGTGGGGCGTGCAGGAGGCAGCCGATGGATGATTCTCTTTCATTATTGATGTTTCTCTCTCCTTTTCCCTTCCTCTCTGAAATCAATAAAAATATATATATTTTTTTAAATATCATTGTCCTTCTCTAGGCTCCAACTGTCAAATCTTCAGTAAGCTTAAGAGTACCTGTTTTTGTGTCAGACAGACCAGCTTAATATTCTTTTTTTCAATATTGTTTTATTGATTTCAGAGAGGAAGGGAGAGATAGAAGCATCAATGATGAAAGAGAATCTCTGATCAGCTGCCTCCTGCACACCCCACACTGGGGATCAAGCCCACAACCTAGGCATGTACCCTGACTGGGAATTGAACTGGGACCTCCTGGTTCATAGGTTGATGCTCAATCATTGACTCAGTCAGGCTAACTTAAAATTCTTGATTCACCACTCATAGCTCACTTACTAGCTTTGTGAATTTGGGCAACTCCCTAATCTCTCTGACCTTCTGTTCCATCACCTGTAAAGTGGTCATAATAATTATCTCTACCTCGCATGGTTGTTAAAATTAAATTATACAACATATGCAATGGAATTGGCTCATCATTTTTTTGTATTCAGTAAGTGTGAAGTAACCGTTAGCTATCATTATCATCTTCATCATTATCACAGAGGCAAGTGACTGCAAAAAAAAGTTTCCAATTCTTTGTCCCTCCCTATCTCTTCATCCTTTGCAATGAGACACTGCAGTTCTTCCATTAGGAGGGAGAACCTCTGGAATCTGAGCTGGATGTGGGACTTGCTTCAGCCAATAGAATAAGATGGAAATGATGATGTGCTGATTCTAAAACTAGGCTTCAAGTACTACATGTTTCTGCTTGTTCTCTTGGAATGCAGTCCCTAGTCAGCTAGCCTACTAGAAAATGAGAGGCAAATGCCATCCTAGACCAGCCAACAGCAAGCTAAGCCCCGAACATGTGACAGAGCTGAGCCTGGATCAGCAGAGCTGTCTACTGAACCCAGCCATCACCACAGACACTGTGTGGTTCCAGCTAAGACAAGAGGAACTACTCAACTGACCCATCACCGCATGAGCAATAACAAATTTTTTTTTTTTCAAATCCATGAGTTTTAAGATGTTATGTTATGGGGGGGGAAAGCCACTATTCAATCTTTATCATTACCATTTTGAATTTAGAGGGTTTCAGTGAGCAGACTGGATACTAAAGCCTTTCTGAGCACTAGTGCCAGGAATATGATTTCATTACATCATCTTGACCCCCAATACAGCAGGGACATCAGACCATACATGCCTGAGGCCACTCCTCCTTTTCCAAGGCTCCACCTGGATCCCTGGGTTTAAGAACTCACGTGCATGATGTCTGTGCTCTTGTTGAAGATCTTCATGTAGGGCTTCAAGATTTCAAAGTGGAAGGCGGGGGTCAGCAGGCGGCGGTGGTGGCTCCACTTGTCACCAGCACTCAGCAGAAGCCCATCTCCTGGCAGAGGCAGCCACAGGAAGTGGGCAAGGTAGGACCTTCTCCTGGTCCCCCAAGGCTGTCCCCAACCTGCTCCACCCTCAGTTACTCACCCAGCCAGGGCTTCATGAAGCTATAGAAGACCATGTCCTTGGGTGCGACGGTAGCTGACATGAATGAGATCCATCAGGAGCAATGGAAGGGGGAGGAGAGGGACTTTGAGTAAGGGAGGAGACTAAGAACCAGGGGTCTGCATTCCCCCTCCAAACCCATCATGGCAGGAATAGGACAAGGGCAGAGGAAATAGTGAGGAGTGGGGAGCCATGGGAGGACCAAATCAGGCTGCAACACAGATCAGAGCAAAGGCAGAGCCCAAAGACACATGCTTAGACTCACCATAACATGACACAACATGCTGAAACACACCTTAACATGGATCCGACATGTTCTACATACCCTGGCACAGTCCAGAACTCTACAAAATACCTTTACAGTGACCTAGGACACCCTGTCTGTCCCCAGCACTCTCTGACATCTCTTAGGACATCTGACACAGCTCAACCATGTTTTAACATATCCTGACATGACTCCAACATGGATGCCATGCCCTGACATAATACAGCATGCTCTGACACTGATCCAAAGACAATCTGACATGACCTCAGTATGTCCCACAAACGGGCCCCAGTTAGGACTTAAATGTGGTCCCATTAATGTCTCAGACATGACTCAGGTATGACCCAGACTTTCTCAGTATTCTCCTCTGTCTTACATGCAACATTAAGTGCTAAGTCAGGCATTCCTCTGTTCTTAAAGGGACAAGAGGGTGCTGCCCCTCCCAGACACTGAGCTCCACTCACCATGAAGAACTGCCACTACTCCCTCCAGACCAGCCCCCCAGGACCAACCAGACACAGCTCACCAACCTGGGTTCTGGTGGATCTTCCCCTACAATAGTCTGGCCATTGGTCTTCTCATCCCAAATCACCTTCTAGCTTAGGATTCCTCCCATCAGAGGCAGCTAGGGTAGCTGAAAACATACAGGGCTAAGAGGAAAGCTTCAGCATGCTCTGTGGTCTTGAGAAGTCACTATGCCTCTGCGAGCCTGATTCCTCACCCAGGAAATGCCCACCTATCAAGTTTGCTGGTGGATGGACATCTGGTACTTACCTGTCCAGTGTCCATCCCCTTCTCCTGGAACCAGGACCCCATCCCTCCTCCACTCTCAATCCAAGTAATTAGGAGGACAGCCATGCCAACCCATCCTCCACTTCAGAGCTAAGCATATGACTCTGAGCCTTAGCAACCAAGTCACAGTGATTAGATGAGGGACTGGTCCCTGGAACTCAAGCCAGGTAAATTTAAAGAACCCTGCAAACTTTCCTTGGAATGAGCTCACTTCTCCAGGCCAGTTGAGCTCTAACACAGAAGAACACAGAACTATGAGATGAAGACAGATTTCCAATGGCATTGTTTGAAGACCTGGATCCAGCCATACCTGAAGACAACTCTCACTGAGCTTTCCAGTCAATAGCTCCCCTTTCTTTACTCAGACCTACAATGTTGAGTTTCTGCCACTCAAGCCTGAAAGAGATTGTCAACTAGAGAGAGTCAGGGACCTTTCCAGAGTCACCCAACAGATTAGTGTCACAGTCATGGACTCTGTCAACATTGCCCATTCTCCTGCTCAACCTGGCCTGTCCAGAAATGGGAAGGGTTGGGAAGGGCTGGGAGAAGAGGAAAGGGAGAGGCTAGGGTTGGGGGCTCCTGGGAGAGATACCTGGGGCCTGGAGCAGGGGGGCCACATACTTAGGATGAACGAGCCGCAGGACAGGGTAGAAAGGCCCCATCCACCAGAGGTGGACATCACGGAAGTAGTGGCCCAGCTCCTCGATCAGCCGCAAGCCCTCCTCATTGCTCTTCACCTGGGAATGGATGGAGATGAGGCAAGACCTGACAGGGGGCCTCAGATGCAACAACTTCCCACTGTACCCCCTACTCACCATATCCTACTCACTTCTTAACTCCTTCTGCCTGGCTTATTGGTCTACACCCATCTCTACCTCACTAAGTCAGCTTCTCTTTGTTGGTCTCAGATCTTTTTGTGTGTATGTCTACCTATATGCCTCTCCCTGTCCCCTCATTCTCTTATCTCTCAGTTTCTTTAGGAGATAAATAAATAGATAGATAGATGAGATAAATAGAAGATATATGATAGATAGATGGTAGGTGACAGATAGATAGATAGATAGATAGATAGATAGATAGATAGATAGATAGATAATAAATAGATAGGAAGGAATAGCCCACTAAAAAGCCTGAAAGTGAGAGAGCCAGCACCTGGCTCTGAGCAGCAAGAAGGAATTCTGTGCAGCTAGAGTGAAATGGGTGAGAAACAGAGAAAAGGTGGAACAGAGAGCAGATCAAGCAGGGCATCAAGAGTGGGTAGAGGCAGGGAATTGGTTCTGAGGGCACTGGGGGGCCATGCAGGATATGGAGATGAGGAGAAACAGATGGGGAATTGGAGAAATAGGCAGAGAAATAAAAGTAAAGAAACAGAGGAAGATGCTCTAACCAGTTTGTCCAGTGGACAGAACAACAGCCTGCAGACTGAAGGGTCCCAAGTTCAATTCTGGTAAAGGGCATATGCTGAGGCTACAGGCTTGGTCCACAGTGGGGGGCATGCAGGAAGCAACCAATCAGTGATTCTCTCTCATTATTGATGTTTCTATCTCTCTTTCCTTCTCCGTTCCTCTCTGAAATCAATAAAATAAATGTTAAAAATAAAATAAAGAAACAGAGAAAGAGAGAGAGAGAGAGAGAGAGAGAGAGAGAGAGAGAGAGAGAGAGAGAGAGAGAGAGAGAGAGGAACACTTATAGATACAGGTAAACAGAGGGAGTAAAAGAAATAAGTACAAACACAGATGCATGTACATCTATCTTCTATTTGAATATACGTGTACATGCATATAGGTATGTATTTATCTATCGATATATCCATCCATCTATCTATCCATCATCTGTCTATCATCTATCTCTACATAACTATCAATCTATTTTCTACCTATATAATCTATATATCTATCAGTCTACCAATCAATTTATCTATCATCTATCATCTTTCTATCCATAATCTATCATCTATCTATTCATCCATCTACCATTTATCATCTATCATCTAGTCACCTATAGATCTATAAATCCATCCATCCATCATTTTTTGTCTATTTATTATCTATCAATATTTATCCATCCACCCATCATCGCTCATAGTATGTCCTGTTTATCTATCTATCTCTCAGAAGTTATGGACACGCCCATTAATTATATCATTTACAAACTAGAAACTGAAGCCATGTCCCCCAAAGGGGGAAGGAGGGCGGATCACCTCTGGTGAGGTGACCTATCCAGTCCCTCCAAATGGAATGCTCCATCAGAGCTGACCAAGTCTCCAGGGCTCCACGCAGGTGAAATAAGTTGTTTTCACTGTGGACCTGTTCCCTGCTCTCCAAGGACTTGAAGAGGCACTTGAGAAGATCGCTTCAGAGAGGAAGCACGACTCCACTCACCAGCTGAGGGACTGGAAGAGGGCAGAGTGCCCAAGGCCATCCTCCACATCCCAGCCCTTGGAGGGGGAGTCAGAACTGCGGAAACTGTATAACATGCCCACTGCCTCCAGGGCTCCCTAAGATCATTCTAAGACCCAGAATCTTCATGGTGAGCTTGGGACCTTCTGTTCCGTGATGAGCTTAGGACATCCTGTTCTGTGATAAGCTGGGGGGAAGGGAGGAGGAGAGGAGTTGGTCGCACATCCCTTCAGCCTTGGACAACCAAGAAAGGTGATTGCAAGTTCATCCAGGCCTAGCACATAGCCTCTACCGTAACATCATCAAATATTTATTAGCTGCCTACTATATATCAGTTCCTGGCATGGGCACTACAGATCTTGTGTCTACCCCCAATTACACTATCTAATGAAGAAGAGGAATAAGAAACAAATAATTGGACCATTAACTGTTTACGTGTGAGCAAGGCCAAGTCAGAAGTCAAGGTCAGGGGGTCAAGGACGGTTTCTAGAAGGAAGTTACATTTGAGCTGAAAATGGGAGGAATTGACCAGGCAACCCCAAGAAAAGTCCTTCCATCCAAAGAGCAGCATGAGCAAAGGCCCTGGAGTAGGAATGGCTAAGCTCATTGAGGAGCTAACGCAGGAGCTCTGGGTGTCTGCAGAGTGTGGGAGGGACTGGTGAAGGCAGGCAACATTTATTCTTTATCTTCAGAGTGATAGGCAGTCATCAGTTTTTCGCCAAGAAAAGTCATGATCTAAACTCAATTTCAGAAAAGTCTCTTCAAGGTTAAAGAGAGAGAAATGATGACAGGAAACAAAGGAGATCAGAGAGGGAGCAAGGTGAGGCTTCCAGATAAGGAGGATGGTGGATGGAGCCAGGGGTGGCAGGAGGATTCAGACAGGGGAAAACTGAGGAAAGGCTGTGGGGGCACCACAGCCAGGTGTGATGAAGGGCCAGATGTGTAGGTGAGAGAAGAGAGAGGCCAGGGGGCCCTAAAGTATGGATGTGGATAACTGAATGATGAACTACACCCACGGTGAGGATTAGGATTGGGGATGAAGCCGTGATTTCAACTACAATGTGGTGACATGAGGTCTTTATGAGACATCTCCACCATATGAGGAGGGGAGGAAGGGGCTGGGCATAGAGCCTCCGACTCAGGAGAAATGTGAACTTGGAACTTACTTATGATGGTCTCCTCAAGATGTGAAGCCCTTAGTAAGGAGGTAGCCTTGAGGTAGCCCAACAGGGTTAGGACTCTGGGTGAATCCCCATATGGAAAGGTAGGATGAAGGAGGAGCCGGGACTGGAGATAGAGGAATCACATGGAGGTGAGGACTCGGGCAGGGACTTGTGCTAGAACCAAGAGAAAAGGGAATTTGCAATGTGACAAATTCAGAGTTGCTTGGAGGTGGATGAGAAAGGACTTAGGGGCCTGGAGTTCCTATTCATCTCAGAGGAGCCTGGTCAGAGTGGACCAGACTAGAGCAGGTGAGGTTCCAGTGGGGAAATGGAGGAAAAGAGGCAAGACAAGCCTTTGTCCAGGAGGAGACCGAAGAGCACGCAGACGGGAGGTTCCGTGCAGGTTGCATCGCACTGGAAATGAGTGGGGATTCAGCGGACACCCTTTTGTCCAGTTTCACGACCTCCTCTAGCATCATCGTGGAGAAAGATTGGAGGGTGTGGGGATTGAGCTCAAGCAAGCAGAGGTTGTCCAGGGTCAGGATGGAAACTTCAATTGGCTAGAGACTGCTGCCCACATGCAGAGGATGGAACTGAAGCTAAATATGTCCAAGGGAGTAGGGTCCGAAGGAAGCTGTTGGGCCGGGACGTAGAAAGGACATTCTGGTGGCCTCAAAGATGGAGTGGAAGAAAGAAGCTGGAAGGAGGAGGGGGTTCTGGTCAGAGGATGCAACACTCCGACCAGTGGCTTCGGAGGTAGTGCCTTCACCAGTGACAACAGAGTCCAAAGTGTGACTGTGGCAATAGGGGGTGGATGCAGCCTGGACAAAGGGCTTCTGGGGAAAAGGCTAGGAATGGGGAAGGGGGCCGAGAGCCCCATCCCAGGAAGTTGGCCATAAGGGCAAAGGCCAGAGGGACTCCTTGGACAATGGGGCCCATTGATATACCTGGGGAGTGGGAGCCAAGATAAGCAAAGAGCCTGAGGAAGGAGAGGAGGAGAGACTGCCCTCATCTTTTTTCATGTCCAGCTGTGCCCCTGGGGGGAGGGGGGAGAGGGCAGAGGTCATAGTTAATTCCTTTGGGGAAGCAGAGGTCAAGAGAGGAGCAGACACCGGCCTGAGGCTGACAGAGATGAGCCAGGCAGTGAGGGGACCTGGAGGAGGTCCCAGGTGCAGCAGTGGAGACTGTGGGACACCAGGAGGCCTGGCTCTGTGCAGTGCACCCTGGGAAACCCTCAGAGGAGCACTGATGGAGACAGACAAGCAGAAGGGGGTTTGGAGTGAGGAAGGGTAACAAAAGGAAAGCTTTGGGGACATGGAGTGCACTGAGGAGAGCAATGAGCCTGGTGAGGAAGTGAGAGAAGAGGGCTCCCTCACTTCTCTGCTGTCCTAGACCCCAGCCCAACCTCTGAGCCCCATGTCCAACCCTTCGGGGAGGGAGTCCACCTGAAATGGTAGAATAAAATGTTCCCCAAAATTGCAAGCCCTACCAGATCCTTGACAGTTATCACTAGATAATTATGAAGCAATGGTCCGGGAACTACCCAGACTTCTTTTAAGTTTCTTTTTCAGCTCTAAAGCTAAGCTACCAACCATAGGGACAAACTCAATCCCCAGTTGGAAAGTCCCTTCCTACATCCCATAATAAGTGCTGCACAATCCCAGAATGCTCCACTTCACTGACATATACCTGGGTATCAGTGTTTCTTCAGAAAAGGAAAAGCCTGCTAACCTACTCCCTGATTGGTTGACCCAGGAATTTCTGGGTTCTCAAGTCCTAAAGCCCCTAAGCCCCACATTTGGGGTACAGAACCTGGGACCTTATCTCTGTGTTCTCTTCCTCCCCCAATAAATCTGCCTTTGCTTTTACGAGTGTCCCTGATCTAAATTCTTTTGTATCTGAAGACAAGAACCCAAACTCATAGGTAACACATCTACCCAGATACCCGAGCCTTACCCTAATGCCCACACTCACCATGCCCATGTGACCCCAAAACCAGTTCCGCTTTGGGGGCTGCGGGAAACATCGGAGGCGATGAGAGTTGTCATAGATGGTGTAGATCCAGGCCAGGAAGCGGGCCAGGAGCCAAGAGGCTCCCAGCAGCAGCAGGAGTAGCCACGGGGAGGCTGCCAGCGTCCCCAGTCCCAGCCAGGACAGGCTCAGCTGCAGCATCTTGCAGGGCAGGCAGAGGGTGAGCTCCTGAGGCCTAGAACGGGGACTGGGAATCGTAATGAGGAAGCTCAGGGGCAGAGACCCGCCTACAGAGGGAAGCTCAGGGGCAGAGACCCGCCTACAGAGAGAAAGGGGGGTTAGGGGCAGATGACAGGGCATGGGGCTCAGAAGGGAAGGGAGAGCCAGGGAAATTCAGAGGGAGAGCGAAAGAGAGGCAGATAGAGGAAGAGATAGAGGGAGAGAGACAGGGACATGGAGAGAAGGGGAAGGGAGAAAGAGAAAGGCTAATGAAGAAACGCCCAACAAGAATTAGCCTGTGGGAGGTCGCCAGTGGCGGCTCCAGTTACAAGGAAACCACCATCCCCGGCCAGCTTGCTCCCAGGAGCTGCAATTGCAGAGACCAGCGGCCCTCCCCGCCCCAGGCCAAGGACTCTCAGGCCAGTCAGCTTCAGCCTAGTACCTTCTGCAGGAGCACAGTCCTACACAATCTCCTCACCGTCCTCCGGGGAGGACTTTGTTCCTGGCCGACCTCTGAACTCTGGGAGGCTGGGCTTGGCTGAGTCGGCCAATGCCTGTGGGCCTAGCTGTTTCCTCCCTGATGGCAGTCACCCAAAACGTGAAGCCAGAGCCAGCTGGGTCCAGAGAGAAACCAGCTCAATGCCACAGGGGGTGAGTGCTGGGACCTCAGGACTCAGCACCTCCCGTGGGGTGAGGAGCACGTTTGGGAGTAGACAAAGGGGACTCTCAGCCCCCCACGTTTACTTCCTCTTCTACCCTTCCAAGTCTAGGATTCAGCAGCTAAAACTTGAACTTGATTGTTTAGTTGCCAGGCAAGTCTTGTCCTGAACATCTCCCTGGCTCCTCCAGGGCACGCAGACCTACTTCCAAGAAAGAGGAACAAAGAAACCGCCTGCCTGGGGACTCGCCCATCAGATTCCGGGGTAGAAGGGCTCTGTGGGAAGAGGGCACCCAGGGGCAAGTGGGGTAGGTCTGTGGGGCCATGAGAAGAGGGTCCAGACAGGAGAGGGCGGAACTGGGAGACCCTCAGTGACTACTGTCTTGCTCTCGCTTTGACTGCAAGCTGTGCTGGCCACCTTCGGGGTTTAGCCTTCCGATGGGGTGAGAGCTGGAGAGGGGTTAAAGCTTGTCCAGCTCCTTTCCAAACTGCCCTGTGAAGGGGTCTGAGCCCCTGTGAAGTTTCCCCGTGGTCAGGCTCCAAAATGAGGGTGAATTTGAAGGATGCAGCTATGTGAAAAGATTGGGACAGACGTACCTCCCGCAACTGATAGGATGTTGGGGAAACATCCAAACACACACACACCCTCTTTGCTTCCAGTCCTACGTGATCCAGCTCCAGACGCCTGTTCCTGGAGCCCGAAGCAAGTGAGGCACACTGCCCCAGATTCTCCGCCTCCTCCGCTGGGCGGAGCCACCTGCTGACAGGCCCAGACAGGTCTGGGGAGCAGCAGGAGAAAAAGAAAAAGCAAAGGTCCCGAGAGGTGTAGTAACTTGTAGCAGCCACACACCAAAGGCATTTGGTGTGATGGCTCAGGAGAAAGTGAATCCTGGCACACAGTCGGTTTTATTAACTACTAGAGGCCCAGTGCATGAAATTGGTACATGGGAGGGCTGGGGGCTGTCCCTCAGCCTAGCCTGCACCCTCTCCAATCTGGGACCTCTCTCAAAATCCAAGACTATTGGCTCCCAACCACTTGCCTGCCTGCCTGCCTTCTTGATTGCCCTTAACCGTTTCTGCCTAACTGCTCCCCTGCCAACCCAATTGCCCCTAGCTGCCCTCTCCTGCCAGCCTGGTCATCCCTAACTGTCCTCCTTGCACGCCTAGTTTCCCCCTTACCCCACCCTCCAACTGCCCTCCCTTGCAGGCCTGGTCCCTCCTAACTACCCTCCCCTGCTAGCCTGATCACCCACAACTGCCCTCCCCTGTTGGCCATCTTGTGGCGGCCATTTTTGACCACATGGGGGCTGCCATCTTGTGTGTTGGAATGATGGTCAATTTGCATATTACCTCTTTATTATATAGGATGTAGGGAAGAATAGGACTTAGCAGCCATGCACTCTAAGAACTCAGAATGCGGTCCTCAGCCCAGCAGCCTGGCTATCACATGCAGCATCTTGGAAATGCAGCATCTCAGACCCACCAAGGTGATGACTACAAACTTTTTGCCATTGTCCTGAGGAAAAGGAGTTTATTTGCCTTCTCCTTGAATCGGGACTGGCCTGGGTTGCTTAACCAACGTGATGCAGGTGGTGTCATGCCAGTGATGACCTTGAAGACAACTGGCAGCTGACACCATATTTGCTCATAGGACTCATTTCATGCTATATAGAGAGACGACTGATAGATGAGGTAGATAAGTAACCGATAATAGCGATGGATAATAGATGGATGATAGATACATAATGAATAAATAGGTGCATAGATGATTAATAGACATCTGTGCTAGAAGCTCTGCTTCTCTGGAGAACCCTGGCTGGTACAGGGGTGAATCTACTTCCTCTCTCCTTGAACCTGAGCTGTCCTCACCAACTCCAGGGACTTGGAGTCTAGATTATGAGAAGACTTGAAGCTTTCCTCCGGGCCCCTTGGAATACACCCGTGCGTCCCGCGTGGTTCAGGGTTCAGGTTCAAGTTCTGGAGGAGGCCGCACACAAATGAAAGAGACTGGAAAAGAAAAATAGGGAATATTAGGACCCAGGTGGGAGCCCAACTCAAGGGGAAGGACTTCACTCTGCTCCGGCCTTGGGGTCCCTTTTATTCAGGTTTTGGGATACATCCATAGCCCTTAGGCAGACAATTCCAATGATAGCCCATCAGGAAGGATTTACCTAAGACTAAAAGGTGGGCATTGCTTTAGCTACCATTTTCTCTACTAAACAGTTGGTGGTTGACTCTGACCTTTCAGAGCCTTCAAAGTTAACCAGCCTTCCAGGTTGCTTGTCCACACCTCTCTGCTATTGAGGACAATGGGCACAGCCTGTTGTACACAGCTGCCATGTTAAGAGGAAGCCCAAGCAGCCCCACAGAGAGGCCCTGTGTTAGCAGGAACTGAGGACCCCAGCCAACAGCCAGCACCACATAGCCAGCCATGTGAGCGAGTTATTCTGGCTTCAGGCAAGCTGCTCCGTCTGATGCCGCCTAGAGTGGAGAAAGCCATTCCAGCGGAGCCCTGCCACATTGTAAATTGGTGAGCAAAGTAAAGTTTGTCAACTGAAGCTACTAAACGTCTTGGCAGTTCGTTATGCAATAATAGCTAACTGGAGCAGACGATATTTCACAACATGTTTGGAGTCCTCAAAAAAATGGTTATGTGATCTTGCTCTCTGGCATATGTCGTCAGTTTGGCTCAAATCAACTCTTATAAAAATTTCTCTTTAAAAAGTGGTTATGTGTGCCTAAATGTTTGTATAGATGCTGGAAAATATTCATATATTCAATTTGTAAAAACTGAAGAAGAAAAAAAAAATCAATTCAAAATGCTGAGTTGGGACTGGAGAGTAGAAACAGAAGAATTTCCCTTTAAATTTTTTTACACTTGCGCCAAAACCGGTTTGGCTCAATGGACAGAGCGTTGGCTTGGGGACTAAAGGGACCCGGGTTCGATTCCGGTCAAGGGCATGTACCTTGGTTGCAGGCACATCCCCGGTAGGGGGTGTGCAAGAGGCAGCTGATCGATGACTTTCTCTCATAGATGTTTCTGGCTCTCTGTCTCTCTCCCTTCCTCTCTGTACAAAAATCAATAAAATATTTTAAAAAAAATTTTTTTACACTTGCAACTTAAAAAAAAATGTTTTTTATTGATTTCAGAGAGAGGCAGGGAGAGGGAGAGAAAGAAATATCAATAATGGGAAACATCCATCAGCTGCCTCCTACACACATTCTATTGGGGATCGGGCCTGAAACAGGCATGTGCTCTGACCAGGAATCGAACTGTGACCTCCTGATTCATATGTAGGTCAAAACTCAACCACTGAGCCACACTAGCTGGGCTACATACTTGCAACTTTTTTTTTTTTTTTTTTTTTTTTTACATCAAGCTCATACAATATTTGGAGAGAGGAGATAAATAAATAAAGTGCTTATAACAACCCTCCTTGATTCATGGTCAGCACCAAGCATGTGTTTGCCATTATTTCTTTTATTTCATGACGAAATGAATACATGGAAACCTGCTATAAATGAGTCTTAGGTCCCTCTGGTTCAAACAACATGTGGATATTACTAGCTGTGAATGGCCCCCACTCCCTCAGCCCTTATCAAGGGGGAGGGGGGCTTCCAAGAGGGGTGTAAGCACTAAGATTGGGGTCAGATCGCCCAGAATCAAAGCCCAGCTCTGTCACTCTCCAGCTGTGTGACTTTGGCAAATGACTTGCCCACTCTGATCCTCACATTCCTCCTCTTCAGTAAAAAGAATATTATAACAGCCTGTGGGGATGGGGATTGGGCATAAGCACAGGTCTATGTGCGTCTCTTAGCTTGGGTTCCCAGAAAGTAGACCGTGACACAAGAATTCAAGTATAAATCCTTTATTCTGTGGCAAAAATTCAACTGCAAGTCGTTTCTTTGGAAGCTGGTCCCAGGAGCTGCCAGTAAGGCAGTGAGAGAGTGAGGTAGGGAAGGGAGGGCAGCAGGGAAACGGTGCTTTAAAAATGAAATTCCCTCTGTTGGAACCTGGGGCTCAGCCCCTCAGGACCTCTGGGAGAGAGCAGAGAACTGTCATTAGTCAGGGCTGCTCCCAAGCACATATTTCTCCAGCGGGCCCGCTTGCTGCAGGGCAGGGAGGGGCTCTGGACAGGGGCTCCTGCCTTGAGCAGGAGCACAGCCCGATGTGGACAGTTATATTGTAGTTGTTCAATGAGTGGGGTTCTCCCCTCCTCTCTTTCCAACACCTCCCCCACCCCCATCCCTACACACACACACACACACACACACACACACACACACTTTAGAGCCTGTGTCCTCAAACCAGCCAGCAGAGGGAGCCTCTAACACACTCAGGAGAGGAATGAGCCTTATGTGATGGCACCAGGTTTATCTAAAGACTCACACCCAGGAGGAGGTGAGTCCTGGGCCCCACAGACCTCATGCCTCCCCTCCTCCCTCATTCATCCACCAAGACCCTTAGTGAAAAGTCAACGTGCATGACAAGTAGGATGAACCTATAAAACCCACAGGAGAGCCAAGGTGCAGAGGGGCGGTCACGTGCCAGGGCCACCGCTAGTAAAGAGCAGAACCTGGGTTTGAACCCATGTAAGTCGCATCACAAGGTCAAGTTATTTCTGCCCAGAACCCTCTGAGGCATGGGTGGTAGGAGTGAGTTGAGGGAGGCTGGTGCAATGTTTGGGGAATAATGAGCGCTTGGATACCCTCCCTTGGGATGAGGATGTGAGAGAGGCAGTGGGTGGCTCCTGCAGTGTC